ATTTAACAATCTAAACGAACTTCAAGCATCAGAACATTGTTTCAAAATATCCGCGTTTTCCAGATTTTTTAACTGAAAAAAGTGAGGGAGGTTTCAAAAATTGAACTTTTTTTGATAAATCCAGACGCATAATAGTTTTACTCATTTTTGCGAACTTCCCGAATATAGAAACTGAGTTCGAAAGAATAAATCTTAACTTCTTTCAGGTTTTTAAAACTTTGAAAGCGGTATTTAATTGGGTTTGTTTTAAGGCGAAGAGTGTGGAGGGCTACAAAAAACGAAATTTTGGAATAAATCAGACCACCGTGTTCGAGAACTTCAGCCATCTGCAAACTTAGTTTGAAAGCTCTAAGTCTCCACTTTTCCGTCAGTTTTTTTTTAAATAAAAAATGTGTTTTTTCGAACCTTCCGTAATAAACCGCCTTATAAAACTGGACAATTTTGCTTGCTCAAGTATTTTGTTTTAAAGTCGTTTTTTTATGATGTCCAAAATTATTTGTTGTTTTCGATTTACTGAAAAAAAAACTCTAATTTTGCATTGTTAAATCTTGAACTTTTTATTAAAATCTTCAATATTTCTCCATTAGTTTCCTTTTTTTGAGATTTTTTAAATAATTTTTTCAGTTTAGTTGTTTAAGTCAATTGAAATACAGTGTGTGTTTTTGAGAAATAAAATGTGTATAATCACAAATGTATTGTTGTTGATCACACAAAATACTGACAAATTACGACAAGCTTCGAATGATAAAAAAAACGCAACACATAAAAATTTCCAATAATCGCCAGTCAATCTGAACACGGACTTGTAAAATTTTAAATCAGTTTACTTCCACTTTTGTCTGTATATTTAAATTTTAAAATTTATCCTTATGGTCTTTTCCGGATATATCTGGCTGTAGCTACCTTTATGAATTTCCGTCCTCTCAAAACTGTGTTTGAAAGCCCCAAATCTTCGCATTCTTCGCTTTTTTTAAATTAAAATATTCGCTTTAAATTAGGTTTGTTTTAAGGGCAATAACGAAGAGGGTAAAGTTTACTGAAAAAAAAAACCAGTAGATCCGACAGTAGATCCAACGAATTTACAAATCTTCGTCATTTAAAAACTGTATTCGAAAGCTCAAAGCCTTCCCTTTATTCCATGTTTTGAGATTTCAAAATCGGCACTTATGTAAGCTCGTTTTCATAAAATCAACTTTATCGGACAAATCCGACCGTAAATGCAATTAATTTATCAACTTCCAAAATTTGAAAACTGTGCCCCGAAGCCCAGAAACCACTATTTCTTCAGTTCGTTCTAAATTTGAAATCGGTTTTTCATTGAGCTCGTTTTGAGGTGTAGAGAATTTTAAAACGGAACTTTAAAGGATAAATCTGCCCGTAGTTACATCGACTACGATCTTTCGGCATCTGAAAATTCGAAAACTGGTTTCTAAAATTTCATATAAAACTTCTGTATTCGATGAATACCTAATAATAATATAATATACATGCGTGAAGGGCATTTAAATTTAGACACAAATCGTAACGTAAATATGTATTTGTTTTTCTGACCTATAACTGAGCTACTGACCTTAGATCTATTATTCCATAATTGCGAAAACGGGAAAATTGCAAAATTAAAACACGTATTGACGATAGAATGATAATTTATGTAAAGCAATTTCAAATTAGAATGTTTGTTATAGAACTTAAGTTGTCGAGAAAAGTGTATGAAAAAATTGTATGCAATAAGTCTCTGTTTTTTTTGCAATGTTTTTCATCTCATGAATATTTAATTTAATTCTCAATAAATACGGTGATTCAGTAGATGGCATGAAAAGATGTTTGATAAACGTTTCTCGGCATTTTATATTTTGAGAAACACTGAATTGTTTTAGGATCGAGAAACAACGGCCTCTGAAATTGCCATTGTATTAGTTAGCAGACTTTCCAATAGTTATTGGTCACTGCATACAAAAGTATTTATTTAATCCAAGGCGATTTTGTAAAGTTTTTATGAAAAAATCGATACTACGTGATGTAAATATAATATGCAAATGACCATAATAGCGTTGGCGCAGGAAATTTAGAACTTGTTGATTTTCCATTTTACTCTTGCGTGTGACCTAAGGGGTAATTGGAGCTTGGACCCAAGGGGTGAATATTCTCTTCGGCTTTAAGTAAGCAGTTGAGATTCGTGACCCTTGTAGTGCTAAACTGGTGCAAATGTCCAAGCCAGAAAGCGAGATTTTGGATCTGGAAGATAGGGATCCGCAACGAATTAATCAGCATCTTGAGGTGTGTAGATAAATGTTAAACTAATTGATAAAAAACAGATAATTTTTTAACGGTTTTAATCTGTTAGTTTGTTGCTGAAGAGTATTTGTCAATCTAGAACAAAAAGTTGTTGATATTTAGCAAAATTATTTATCTTTATGGCATAGGAAATTCGCATGGTGTAAAGCCTTCAGTTTTTATTCTTTATATATTATTTATATATTCTGGCTTATACTGAATCACCTGATTTGGATATCCAGATTTTAAGTTATGAAACGACTTACAGAACGTGATTTAGTTGTGGATAAACAGCAAATAAATTTTAGGTTTCATGGGACACTTTAATAGGAGAACCGCAGTCCCTGAGAAGTCCAGAATGCGCTTGGACACTAAGCCAGTACTGCTTCAGATTCTCCAGAATTGGTGTTTACACTTGCCTATCGGTATTGTTTGCACCAATAGCAGCCTGTTTCGTTGGCACTTGTTATGCCGTGTTTTATTTTCAAGTAAGCGTGTTAATTTCCTTAAATTATCATTTAAAAAAGAAAATGATATTTTACTTAAATATTTTTAATTGTTCCAGTATATATGGTGCTCAGTGCCCAGTTTATGGTTGTGCAAGGCAACTTGCGGAATTACCCGATCGTTTGTTAGAGCTTTCACTCATGGCTGCTTAATTCCGATTACCACAGGTTTTGGATACGTTCTGTCTGAAATCAAAGTAAAAACTCAAAAAGTTCAAGAACCTGCTGAGACCAAAGAAGAAGATGATCAAGTTTTCATTATATAAATATACTTTCTTGACGTAAAACTTCTACATTAATTGCATTGGAAAATCAGTCGAGGTTTAAAAAAACCGTGTTCAAATCAAATACTTTATTAATTCATTGAAGCATTTTTGCGTTAATTATTACGTTATTATTAGTTTAGTATTAGTTAGCCATTCATTAGCTACTGTTTAATAACATTTTTTGACGGATACTCTTCAACAATATGCTTAGTGCAAATGCATTATTTCATACTGTTTCGTAAAAAAATAATTTTCGATATGATGAAATTGTTTGAAAAGTATGTGCGACAGAAAATTTTCGCATTTTATGTTAAGTTCAGTATATTAATTTAAACTCATTTAGTTTCAAAGCCAGCAAATGAAATACATGTTCATATAAATTACATTTTTGTTACTGTTTAAATGTAATCAGTTCAAATTGGTCAAAAATCGTTTTATTTTTCCTTCATTGAAGTTTTATTTTGTGGAATTGCTTTTAAAATGTATTAATGTTATTTGGATGCAAGTTAGAACTCACTGAATGCAAACACGCTTATAAGTGCAAGCTTCTTCTACCAATAACATATCTAAATTTCTCGCTTTGGATAAATGCAGAAAGCTAATGATTTTTTCCAAAATATTCACAAAATCAGAAAGGTTAAAAATTAAACAATCAGAAAATTCCTGTTTACTTATAGGACAAAGTGTTTGTTTGCAATTTCACACCAAATTTAGAATATGAGTTAAATTGCAAATAATAACTAAATGACTCAAATACAAAATTTATCAACATTCAGAACAGAAATCGACTAGAATATTTTTGCTTAAATCTAATAGAAGTTCGTTTAATTGAAAATTTGCATCTGAGTTTGTCGTGTATCTTTACTATTGCTCCACATATATAATTTAATGTTGATTTGAATAATTATCGAGCTAATGAATACGTGATATCGCTCGTTAGTTAGTAATTAATAAAACTTTTGACTGTTGTTGATGATTTTTTATGTTGATTTTGAACACACACTTTTAAAGAAATAGTTCCCAAAGTGTGTAAATTTATTGATTTATATACAGCAATAGTATAAAGGCTATTGCACCTTAAGTATTATTTGGTTGGTTCAAAATATTTTTGGTATGCAGATTTTTCCTTTGAATTTCCTTTAGCTCAATTTTCTGCAATACAACGACAGAAGCTTACCAGACTGGAAATCGTAAATATTAACATTCGGACGTCTTGTGTTGACCTGCGATGCCATTTAGTCAGCAATATGTTACAAAAACAATAACTATGCAAATTCACCTATTGAATGGTTGAATGCAATGAATGCTAATTGGTTTCAAAGTCACACAATGGTTGGACATTGGTTGACTTTGAAATTATACTAAATTTCGTGGCACATATTTCAATGTATTCAAAACTTAAGAAATTTTAGAAAAAAATTAAGATGAGGAAAAATTTTTGGTGGACCGACCACTGAGCAGGAAGAATGAAGATGATGAGGTTTCACAAATTGGATCTAGTGATTCTCGTTTTGACGCTACGTTTCCATTCTAATGTTAATGGAATAGGTTAGCATATTATTTATCTAACTTTTTCTTTACCCGTCTTTCAATGATTTCCTGTTAGTTAATGCTTCGATCATTCGACATTCGGCTGATGTACAGAGTGGCAGAAAAACTTTAATGAACGTTAAGTGAAACTGTTACTCGGTGGAAAATATCTAGGTACAATCGTTTTCGCTAGGAAAAGGGATATTGGAGAATTTATTGAGAAAAGAAACACGGTTAAATATCTTGAGATGACCCTGGAAAACCAATTTACGCAAAATAAGCTACAACAATGTAAAAATCTTCGCTTTTGCTCGTATAAACAAAAACTTTGCACTTTCCTGCACATATTGCATCATTTATGGTGGACTTCGTTATTATTTGAGCCACTTTATACACTCGACTTGCAACAAAAGCGATGCAATATAAAGTCGGACTTCCTGACTGATTTAGCGTTTACTACCAATCGAGGTTCATTCCCATGATGGCATCCATAATCAGCTACTATCGAGGGAATAAAGACAAATTTGTATGGAAGAACATTGCCCTGCTGTTTGGTTTTCATCCGATTGCGCTGTTTGCCCTATTTCGGGTTCTAAGTGGTTCTGCCAGCCTTAATACAGTCCTTTTCAGTAAGTCAATTATTTTCACTACTTTTACTGTTAATGTAAGTAACCCAAACAAGATACTGTCGAAAAATTGAATAAAATCTATTTCTGTTAATTTACAGTGATGTTGTTTTGCAGATTTTGCTTTAGGCTTTTTAGGGTTTTTAAGCCTTACAGCTGGCGCTCATAGGCTTTGGTCGCATAAAGCTTATAAAGCTCGATGGCCTTTAAGACTTATGTTGGTGCTGTTTAATTTCTTGATATACGAGGTATGTCACATCAGTTTTTTAGCAGATATTTTCCTTCAGAAAAATTGTTATTCTCCCTGTTTGTGATGATGGGTTCCTTGCAAATATAACTGGAAGTTCGTTATGTTTTTAATAAGGAGTCTGGCGCCTCAAGTGGTTTACTTTTTGAGATTTTTCAATATTTGCCTTCAGTAACACAATTAAGGAAATAAGCGCATTATGGTATAACGAAGCAATGTTCAAAGTGACTTTTTACATTATTTAGTTCATTTTTAATGCAAATGTTAGTAAAGTGGAAAATCGCACATTTTTGCATGCAACTTTAGGCGCCTGTCGATCAATCCTTTTAGTACAGTTAGTTCAATGAAGGCTGAACAGAACCAGAACCAATGAAACCTTTAAATATTTTCAATAATTTTCATTTCAAATTTTGTCAGAATCCTATAATTCATTGGGCTCGAGATCATCGCACTCATCACAAATTCAGTGAAACCGACGCTGATCCTCATGATTCCAGACGTGGGTTTTTCTACGCACACATGGGCTGGGCAATGTTGAAAAAACGCCCAGAAGTGTTGAAAAAAGGCAAAACCATCGATCAATCCGATTTGCAGAATGATAAAGTATTGAAATGGCAAGAAAAGTACTACATGTTGTTGATGCCTTTAGGCACGTTTATTCTGCCTACCGTAATTCCTGCGTATTATTGGCAAGAAACATGGGCAAACGCATACAGCGTCAATATTTTGCGATATTTATGGGTTCTTCATCTGCATGGATTGATTAATTCGGTTGCGCATACTTTTGGAGAAAAACGATTTGATAAGTAAGTTAGAGAAAATTGAATATAAACTGCTAAAGGAAAGCAATGGTCTTGTAAATAGAAAACAGTTTCCATTTATGTCGAGGAAAGATCCGATTTTTAACAAACATTGAGACGGGGTTCTAAAGGGAAAAAAACACACAAAAAACTTGTCACGTTATGTATTTGTAGATTACGACTTGTAGTCGCTTTTTTCACAAAAAGCAGGGTTTTGATCTTCAAATTAAGTAAATCAGAAAAAATCGAAAAATAGTGTATAAAATAATAATACAAATAATAGAAGTGTATTTATGATTTCATTTGATTTATGGTTTCTGTTTAAAACAACGTGTTTTTTATATATTCTCTATTATAAATTCGATTTTACTATACCCCATAAAATTACTGTAACGAGTCTGTAGAAAAAGCATTAGAACAGAAACAATAATAATTTTGCGTAGGTATAAACAGGGAAGTAAAATAATGGTAAACAACACTGATTTAAAGAGATTTTACAGTTTAATTTTCAATTCCTAAAGATTGTATTTTTTTATCTTCTTAATTCCTCTTACCATGTGCAAATTAATCTTCATACAGTGCTCTTCAGTTCTTCTACTTAGTTAATCTATGGTTCAGCTACAGATATAAATTTGGTTAGATTAGTAAACAGCAAAAGGTTTTTAACTGGATTTATTTTAGAAATATTGGACCTGGAGATAGTGTTTTGGTATCGGCTCTAACTCTTGGTGAAGGTCAGCACAACTATCACCATACGTTTCCATGGGATTTCCGAGGTGCAGCTACCGGAATGTTGCGCTGGAATTTAACGCTTTTCTTCATATTGGCCTGTGCGAAAATAGGATGGGCCTACGAAATGAAAGCTCCTTCGGATGAAATTGTGAAAAAACGAGCGGCCCGAACTGGCGAAGAAACTCATCTATGGGGTTGGGGTGACAAAGACATTGAAAAAGTCATTGAAGAATATAAATTTTCTACGACTGTGGATTGATTGATACACTCAAACAACTGATCTGACTGAAGATTGAAAAATGTGATTATAAGGGTGTTAAGGGCGTGCAAATGTACATTTTTTGGACTTGCTGAATATAATTTAAATTTGTAAAAAGTTGTTGTTTGATTTTTTTGTTAATATTGAAACACATTGAAACTTAAACACATTTTTGTTAATGTTTTTTTATTGAGAAATACAGACACAGATGAAAGATTAAGGTTGTCTAATTTTGTGATTTTTTTGAAGCTCATAAACTGGCGATGTTTCTGAGTATTTAGAACACGACCAATAGGCCAAAGCTTTTATATGTAAAATTTGCAACCTGTGAAGATTCTAGTGCAACAAGTAAACCAAGTGCTACAAATTTGGAGTTTATTGCGGATTTTTTGATGCCCAAAATGTAAACTGTTCGCGTCGTTTTTCACATTTGTTTTCAGTAATATTGATGTTTTAAAAATATATTCAACAATCCTCTACTAAAAATTCATACTTTATTGCTTGCACAAGAAGGCGTCTCAGTTTATTACCAAAATTGGGATTTTGTGTGTTCTCATCAAGATTGTTTAACACAGGTTTCTTTCCAAAAAATGTCCAGTTATTTTAATTTAGCACATTATTTGCGCCACTAAACAACTGAATTTGCTGGGGTTGCATGTTAAGAGCGAAAATTCTCCAATATTTATTGGAGTTGTTAATATCTCCATTTCACTTTCCTTCAAAAAATTGCTGCCACTTTTCCTATTTATATTTAACATTTTCATCATTTTTTTAACATAACATCAGATTTAAAATTTTTATCGTTTCTACTAATATCTCCAAAACTGGGAAAGTGTTTAAGAGGTTTTTCGGCAAATGGAAACATGCTATGGTAGGTAAAATTACTGAAATATGAAATGTTCAGCATTTTAAATCATATTTTAATTGACAAAATACTACAATAAACGTATATGATTTATATAACAAAGAAAAATTGGAAACTGGCTAGTTTCGCCCCTAAGAATAATGTTTAGTACCAAAACTATCTTTTTTTATGCAAGTTAATTTTTTTTTGCAAAACATTTAGAATCCTCGATTCACACGAATCGATACCGATAATTATTTTTGCGATTTTCTCAAAACTGGTAAATTTTTAGAGCTTTCGGTAGTTTTAGTTTTTTTAGTGGACATGGGTAGAAAATTATTTCTTGATTGTCAGTGAAAGTAATAATTGTAGTGTCTTGAAATCAATGAAATCGAGAATAAAAACGGATAATTAAAAAAATATACAATTGACAAATTTAAACTGGACAGTTCTTGGGCAGTTAGACGGTCGTGTAAAACAATTTCTTCCTGATTTTTCGCAAGCATGAGTAGCTCTCATCTTCAGAGGTGGTTGCTGCGTTAAAAAACAATTTCAAGCAATGGCTGAGAAGTGGCAGAGAAGGCTGGCTTTTTGGGTTTTATGACACAATCAATACATTTAAAAGAATCCCTTTCGAATAGATAAAGCGCTTCTAATTTTAAAAACGCTTTGGCCCATTTTTTTTTTAATAATTGGTTATCCGACGACGACGACTTATTGGCAAAACGATTTCTGCTGAAGCATTATGTATTTATTCGCAATATTCATTGGCATCGTGTTAATATGCAACAATGAAAGTAATTATTGTCATTGTTGTTTCATACAACTTATTTTGAGCTAGTAGCATGGATTTATTCATACGCATTGTCTGTGGTCTATAAAATATGATTAGTTTCGTAGGAGGCACATATTCGCTTGTTCTGCAATATGGATAGTACGAAAACATCATTTAGCACTGAGCAGTTGGGTATTGTGTGGAGAAATGTGATTTTATTTGGCATTTTACATGCGATTGGTTTAATTGGAATATTATTAGTCGCCAAGGGTCAAATTTCATATTCGACACTCATTTTTGGTTAGTATTGCCCAGCTTTCGGTTAAGTACATGTACAGTTCGTCATTAAACTAGTAAGCACATCAAGCTCGTCAATTGAATTATTTTCTTCGCTTTCAAGATGCAGTGTTTTAATATGATTAGTCGTTTCAGATATAGTACTAGGTGTTTCTAGTCAAATTGGGATAACTGCCGGAGCTCACAGATTGTGGGCACACAGATCATATAAAGCAACATTCCCCTTAAGGCTTCTGTTGGTCGTTTTAGATACTTTTGTGTATCAGGTATGTAACCTAAACTAACACAATAGTCTGTAATCAATACTATATTGGTAAGGCTTGATAGATCTGAAAATTAGTCTTAATGATCATTTTTTTAAATACGGTCAGTTTGGATGAGATTTTTATGTTCCAAGTTGTCGATTTAATTTAAACTGCTCACAATTCAAGCGTTTCTAAAATTGTGTAGTGTTTTCCGTTTATTGACAGTATTTTCCTTGTACCTTTGAAATATTTTTTAAATCTAGAGCATTGACCAACCCAATAAACAAAAATACCAAATTTTGCAAATGATTGACATGAAAACTTTAGCAAATACGTTCCTAAATCGTACGTGCAAAACCCTAGAAAATCCAATGTATTATTGAATATAAGTGTATTCAAAACAGTCGGTATTTTTTTTGAATAATTCTTCAATTGTTTTTATGTTTTTAGTTTATCAAACATATAATTCTGTTTTCCTTTGAATTTTTTGTAAGCAGCACTTAGTAAGCAGGAGCAAAAATTAGGTACTTGAACTTCGTTAGTGGATGTTTAGTTAAAAATTACATCTTTGTCTAGTTCTGCTGTAACTTTCTTTAATTTTGCAACTTTAGTTTCGAAATCTTTACTTTTTTGGAACCAGTTGAGATATGGAGCGTCGTTTTCACAAGGACAAGAACATGATTTAAATTAATTTTTCATTGACATAAATAAATTAATCGTTACTCATTTACAGTAACAAAACCTTGCTTACTCATTCGACTGCCTTTTGAGCAGCATCATAATTATATACAGCTTCCTTCATTCATCTTTCATTTTATTTCTCACTTATAGTAAATTCTCCGTCATGTTTCAGACATCTGTTATCAATTGGTGTCGCGATCATCGTCTCCATCACAAATATTCCGATACTCACGCGGATCCACACAATGTTAACAGAGGCTTCTTTTTCTCCCACATCGGCTGGATAATGGTTCGAAAGCACCCGGAAGTGAAAGCAAAGGGTAAAGGAATTGACTTGTCCGATCTCTACTCGGATCCTCTGCTAACGTTCCAGCACAAGTACTACCTTCCTCTGATGTTACTCGCTTGTTTTATTACGCCCGTTGCTGTTCCAATGTATTTCTGGAAGGAAACCTTCCTCAATGCCTTTTCCCTGAATATTGTGCGCTATTTGATTATCGTTCATAACACTTTCACAATAAACTCATTTGCTCATCGATTTGGATACCGGCCATACAACAGGTAAGTGTTCCTTGCTCCTTAAGAAAAAGACTATTAAGAAATTTACTTTCCAGATTTATTGTTCCAGGAGACAGCTTAAATCTGTCTCTGGTGACTTGTGGAGAAGGTTTCCACAATTACCATCACACGTTTCCTTGGGATTATCGATCTGCAGAGTTTGGGAAGTTTTCCTTTAACTTGACCAGAAGGTTCATCGAGTTTTTCAACCAAATTGGATGGGCGCATGATCTGAAATTTGCCTCAGAGGACATGATTAAGAAGCGAGTACTACGAACAGGAGCCAACATTGAAGAAGTCGAGTTAAAGATCTAAAAATTAGTTAGCATTAATTTTTGGAGAAAATGTAAAAAAGTATTGTTTTTTTCTAATAAAGCACCCTAGGAAAAGTACTGAAAGCTGGATTACAACATCATCGAATTTCCAGTTATCGCGGGAAATATATAACTTTTGAAAAGTGCGTACGTAAATCCACTCTTCCACATTGTAGTACACAATTTAAATAAAAATTCCATATTCAGTGGAGACTTAATATTTTGATAGACTATCTACAGGATCACAATCTTATCAACATAGTCGATTTTTCCCATCTTTCTAAATTTAAATCCGAACAATTCTAGGTTAAAATGAGCGCTGGCTTAGTGTGGACAATCCGTAAGTATTTCCAATCATCTTTGGACTTTTTCATTACACTTTTCTGGTTTAAGTTTTTGTGGTTTGTGCGGAAGTCTGCAGTTATGCTGTGAGTCCAAACAATGACATTGAATCTGGCTCCAGTTCTGATCCAGTTTTGCTCAACTCCAAACTATGTGTTGACAAAAATGGAAGACGTCTATATGGAGAAATTGCTTATAAATTAGACTGCAGGTAAACAATGTATTCAAATGATATTCATGTCGTTGATATGTTTTAATATCATATCCATTGTTGCACTGATAACTTTTCTATTGACTTTTAATGCAACAGTTGTTAACTTGTTAACTGTTAAATTAGCAGACAATAAAAATTAATTTTTACTTGAATGCACTCGAGAAGCGTTTTTCGGAAATACCTCATTTTGCCCTTGAACTTTCTTCCACGTGTTTCACAATACTGTGCAGTACTAATTCAAGGCAGCTTATGAATATTTTAGTGTGCAAAACGCATTTATTTTACCATAAGGAAACTTGACATTAATGAGACTGGCAAGTTATCTGTCGCGATCAGTTGCGAAATATTTCGCAGTATTCCTAGGATTAGGGATTATTGCTTATATCTAAGTTTATATACCCACTTACACTTTATTTACATTTGTTTTTAGATTGTCTGTATCTGTAATCAATCACCTACTTTTCTGCTCCACTCTAGATTAGATGTGGAACAGGATGATCGGTTTACACACAAGGATGATAACTATTGCTCAAATAAAATATACACATTTGATCGTAATGAGAAATTCATTGGCAGCTAATTGAAAGGCAAAATATAGGTATTAAACGATGCTAATTAGAGGGAAGACGGATGGAAAATAAAAAATACTGAAAGTCAAAGAAGGTCAAGGAAAATTAAGAAAACCTTCAATACGTGTGAATTCGCCTTGCAATTTCCTCTTTTAAATTGAGGAGCTAATATGTCTGCAAACTCAATTTATTATTCCTTAAATAAATCGAGAGAAGAAGGCGTTAAAGGCAAAATATTTAGAGCGTTCATCAATCTATAAACAAAAGATAAACTAATA